ATTTTATTATTCCTAAATTGTGAGAGTTGCCGATAACAATAATAATAATGATTTCATAACTTGATGTTATGCTTTAATTATAAAGAGAAAGAAAAAAGAAAAGAAAAGGTTTATTTCTTTTAATTAAAAAAAAAAATAATTATGAATTCAATTATTTACTTTTTTTTTTTAATTTACACGACGTTGTTTCTTTAAAAGAAATTCCTGTAAAAATTTTTCAATTATATAAAAAAAATAAATAATTATTTAACAATTTGCATGCTGTTAAAAAAAAAATAAATAAATAAAAATTTCCTCATCACTATGGAAAATTATCAAATTGAAAATTTAAATAAGGGAATTTCAAGCAAATTTTTTTTTTTTTTAAAACCGCCTGAATTTTCTTTTTTTTCGTATGAGGCGAAACTAATCATTTATTTCTATTCGAATTTTTTTTTTTTTTTTTTTTTTAAAAAGTTATTGAAACAAAAAAAAAACGAAAATCTACTTTTTCTAAGGTTTTAAATGGTAAAAAAAACTACAAATCAAGGTCTTGGTTTGAAAAAAAAAAAAAAAAAATTAATATTTTAGTTGAACTAAAATGACAAGGTGTGGTGTGTGTGTGTGAACATTTTTTTTTTTTTTTTTGACAAAAAAATAAAATATATTAAAAATAAAAAAACCTAATAATCACTAAAAATTGATGCAAATCAGTTATTATAATATTCGGCTATAATTTGAAAAAGCCAAATGGTAACTAAACTATTTATATATTTATATATATATATATATATATATATATATATATATATATATATTTATAAATGTGGCTCAAGTGCACGATATATATCTTACTTCTTTTTTGCTTTTCTTCCTTCCCATATACTTGAGTGGCAATAAGAATAAGAGAGAGAAAATATATATATATATATTTATGTAAATATATATATGTGTGTACATGCATTTTTATTTTTTTACTTATGTATATATATATTTACATATAAAGAAAGAAAAAAATAATTAAAAACGAATGTTTCATTGTTTAAATAATTCTCAATTTTATTTGTTGTTGTTAAATGGAGAAAAATTTGTATACATAAGAAGTTATGCAAAAGAATTAGCCTTTATTTAATAATAATAAAAAAAATTATGTAAATAAAATGTCCATATTTCTTTCATTAATAATGAATAAATAATTTTTAAAAAAATTTAAACAATTACTTATACGATATATAAAACTTGCGATCGAATTAAATATAATTAAAAAAGAACAAGAGGGGGGGGGGAAATTATGTGAGTCATTCATAGTGTATATCATAATCACACGTTCAACGGAAAATTGGTTACACTGAGGAAAATTTTCAAATCAAAACGGAAATACATTGTATTTTTCCTCCTCTCTCTCTCTATCTCTTCTCTGTCTCTCTCTCTTTCTCTCTCTCTCACCGGAAATCCCAATTATTATTCCTTATTACAACAACACACAACTTTAAATTTTCAATATTTTAGTTAGGTAATTAAAAATAAAAAATATACATTTTTTATATCTTTCATTTGTATCCCTCTATCTGAGGGAAAATTTTTTCACTTGAGTTAATTTACAAATAAATAAATAAATAAATATTAATAAATTTCAAATATTTAACAATCCTAAATTATCTACAAAATTTTACTATTTATTACTATTTCCTATTTTTGTTTAAATAAAAGCTTCATATTATAATACATTAACACAATTTTACTTTTTTTAAAGAAAATTTTCACAAAAACTACTACTTGTTGAGAAACAACTAACGTTAATTGTGTGTAAAATTAAAAATAAAAATTTATTATATATATATATGTATGCATTCAATGTAAAATAATTTTCACCGAAGAACATAAAAAACTTTTATGGGAAAGCAATAAAATAAAATAAAAATTACAATTGAAATATTTTACATATAAATATCGATATTATAAAATATTGTTAACTGTGTGCACATTTTTTAAATAAAATAATTAAATTTTGTACCTATAATAATAATTTTTTTTTTACATTTATTCATGAGTGTGTGTGTGCGTGTTTTACTAAATTTAACGTAATTTAAATAATGATAATAACAAATGGAAACTGACAGAACTTTTCAAGTCAACAAACCAAAGAAATATTCAGCAACATAATTTCGAAAAACGATGTAAATTATCCGTACCGGCGGAAAAAAAAAACCCCAGACAGGCAAAGAAGCGAACAAAAGGTTAAAATAGAGAAAGTTGAAAATAGAAATAGCCCCAGGATAAGAGGGAATAAAGACAGAAACTATTTTCGTGAAACCAGAACTGGGAGCCATGCCTACTTCATTCATTAAAAGAAAATTCGAAAAAGATTTACAGAGAAGATTCACAAGAAGTACAGGAAATTACGTAATGTGGTGGGACGGCCCACATTTTTCAATAGCGCCACCCTTTATTCCAGCATTTATTCCAAAGGAATCGGATCCGAAAAGTTTTTTTTTTTGAAGATTGTCAAAAAAAAAAGTTAAAATAATAATAATAAAAATACATACCTCTCCGTCCGCTCTTTTCTTTTCCAATTCTTTAAATTTTTCATTTTCTTGAGCAATTCGTTGTTCGATGGCAGCTAGGGATTCTCTGGTAAACGGTCTGAACAATCGTTGTTCTTCCTCGGAATGAAAATCCGAGATGTCTGACATTTTCTAATTAAACTGCTAACAATACCTCAGAAGGCGTGTCCCGGAGGGTGCCTTCGCCTCTAGGACCCTCCCAACCTCTACCATAGCTTTCCTGAAAATTTAATAATAAATATTATTTAAATGTCTACTGCTGTTTATTAATATATATATATATATATATATATATATATATATATATTAATAATAATAATTAAATACTTACCGTTTTCCCATGTAATAAATGATATTGTTTTTTTTTTGTGAGAAACGTCACAAGATCAACATAATCCTTAGCGAGTTTCAGCTTGAAGCCGGAATAACCTTTTGTAAATAAAAAAAAAAAAAAAAAATTTTTTTACACAAAATATAAATAAATAAAAATCATATTCATACAATTTATAAATTATTATATTATTAATATGAGATTCGATAATAATAAAATTAATCCGTCAATATCGAAAACATTTTGTCATCGTCATTATTATTATTATTTATTAATCAATAAAAATAGGTTTTATATAAAGAATATAATATGAAATCAGTATAGAAATTTAATTGAGTTTTTAATATATATTATTTTATAACTTTGCACTTAATATTATTATTATTATTCTCCCATATTAATTTTTTTCTAAATAAAATTCACTTTATTAAAAAGTTTTCTTTTATTCAAAATGATGATGATGATGAATAAAAAACATTTTATTTATTTATCAATATGAAATTTTAATATTTATTTAAATGTATCGTGATATTATTATAAAGCATTTAAACCCCCCCCTATCCTCCCCTTCCCGAAAAAAAAAAAAAAACATCTTCCTCTTCTCGGGAATTTTTTTTTTTTTTATACAAAATTTTCTACCAATAATTTTAGTGAAAAAAAAAAAAAAAAGAAAACTCAATAAGTTTCCATTATGCGGAATAATGTAAATTAACAAAAAAAAAAAAAAAGGCAAGAAATAATAATAATAATAATAATAATATTAATGTTGAGATTGAATAATTGAAACATTCAAACATGCACACAAACATCAGTTTAAAAAAAGTTAAAAAAAAAAAAAAAAAAATCAATCAAATTTTTTAAAAAAAAAAAAAGAAAAGAAAAGAAAATTTATTTATTTATTGTGTAAATAAGAAAAAACAACAGCACAAACATTTTGATCTGATTTAAGTTGAAAAAAAATTTATTGATCTTAAATAATTATAATCAATCTTTTTTTTAAATAGGTTTTGGTAAATAGTTTGTGTATAAAAATTTTATTATTATTATTATTATTTCCTTTTCCTTTTACTTTTCAGGGATTTCTCAAAACACTGTGTCAATTGTGATTGTATTAATAAAATAAAATAAGAATGATGATATATATTTGAATAAAAATTATATTATTAATTAATTGAAAAAAAAAGTCAAGGTAAAGAAATGTTTAATTAAAGATTTTACACAGGGAAAAAAAAAGAAAAAAAAAAAAAGAAAATACGAAGCCTGGTAGAGACCACGTTTCGACTGGGGCTAAAAATGAATTGAATTAATTGGGGGCTGCGCGCTGCAATGCGACCGTGACGTCACCCACTCCAGGCGCCACTACTCCTCTCTCTCTCTCTCTCTCTCTCTTTCTTAATTTCACGTTTTACTTTTTTTTTTTTTTTCCAGTTGTTTCCCATAACTTTTTTTTCTCTTTCTCTTTCTCTCTATATAATATTTGACAATTATAACAAAATATTATTATTTTCAATTTTTTTTTTTTGGATTTATGTCAAATGATGATGATGATGATGATGATATTATGAATCAATCAATGGCATACATACATAATGTAAAAATGAATAACATTCTATATAGAATTTAACTTAATGAAAATTCTTTTCTTTTCTTTTCTTATTAATTTCTACAAGATAATTAACCAAAAAAAAAAAAAATCTTGATATTTTTTAGTATAAATCTAAACACCTGTTGTAAACAAATAATATATATACTGATATTATTATAAATTTCTTAAAACTTTTAAAATTGACCGTTTTAATATGAACCATACCTGATTACATACAAAAAAAACCTTAACTTATTTCATTATAAAGTGAGTTTTAAATATTTAATAATAATAATAATAATAATAATAATAATAAATAACGTTCATGTTGATAATTTTTTTGTTAAAAAAAATCATTTAAAATAATTTTAATCATTATTAATATTTTTTTTGTTTGAAAATTAAACGCAATAAATAAATAATTAATTATGCAAGTCAATTTAAATTAGTTATTTGTTTTTCTTTTTTAATTGTTAAAAAATCTTGTTGGTTTGTTTGTTCGTTAGTTTGTTTGTTAATACAATATTAAAAATAATAGCCATTTAATTCAAATAATATAAGTTTCTGAGTTAGTAATAAAAAAAAAAAGTTATGAATAATTATTATTATTATCATTTGAACATGATGATGATGATGATTGACATATAGACATGATGAAAAACATAAATTGAAATCATTGGGGGGGGGGTGAAAGGGGGGAGGGCTACGTTTACATTTTTTTTAAATTAAAAATCTAAGCCTTTTACAAAAATTTAATTTTTTTAAAAACTTTAACCATAAGAAAATTTTATCGTGAGGAGGGGTAGGGGAGGTAGGGAGTAGGGGGAAAACACGGTAGTAAAAATTTTAGTAATTTTTCAAATTTCCATGTTCGATCGGTCAAAAAAAAAAAAAAAAAAAAAAAAATAATCAAGAAAGGTACCACGTACGGTCGTATAACTACAACAAATACTTTTTTTTTTTTTTTTTTTCTATTTTTGAATTTGATTATTTAATTATTATTATTATTATCATTGATAAAATTTAATAATTTAATATTTATACAATATTAATAATAATAATAATTTAATACTTAAATTCGAGAAACTTCACGTATAAAAAAAAAAAAAGAAAAGAAAAGAAAAACCTTAATTTTTAATATTTAGTATCAATATTTAAAATATTTCATACACATAATAATATTTAATTAAAAACAAAACAATTTAATTTATTTTATTTAAATAATTTCCTTTTGTATGTTTAAAATAATAATAATAAAAAATAAAATTACACTCACCCAAATATGAAAAAATTTCAAGGATTCTAATGTAGGAAATGGCGACAGATTTAAAGAATCCAACATTCGAAACTGAGTTTGACTTTTTTTTTTTTTAAAAAAAAATTTATTATTTAATATTTTAACCGTAAACAAAATGTCTTTTAAATTTATATATATATTCGTTCGATAGGTATTTATTAAAATAAAAGATTAAAATAAGAATACTAATTAGAAACTAAAAAGTCACTAAACAATTTTATTAGCCAATCAATACCACATTTTTCCGCTTCACCCTTACACTTCTTGCAGAAAAGAAAAAGGAGCGATTTAGGGCGCCATCGGTTAAAAAAACAGGCAACGGTCAAATATTTAACTAAATTATTTTATGGTCGATAATAAATATTAAATACGCATGTCAATATCGATTTTTTTATTATTATTATTATTATCCATTATCATAACCATTTATTTTTATTTTTTTATTTATATTTATATATATATTTAACTGAATTTTTTAAAATAAAGGAAAAGTTAAAGTAGTAGCTATCTACTCGTTTTATTTCTATAAATAAAAACGTAATAATAATAATAAATCAAAGTGATGTGTGTACTATTATTATTATTATTAATATGTTTAATTAAATTTGTTTAATTGTTGAGAAGAATTAGTAAATATTATTTTGTAATTTAATATTATATTTATTACATAAAAAATAAAATAAAATTCAATCAATATATGTAGGGCTTTCTTACAAAAGAAAACTAATTTGCAAAAAAGACCACGAGATAAATATTGTGTATACAATAATAATAATAATAATAATAATAAATATCTACATTTTTCTTTTATTTTTTTATATTTCCTATAAAATAATTCATTTTAAAAATAAAAATAAAAATTTGAAAATAAAATAAACGAATGTAAAATAAACATTTTAATAAAAATTTTTAATGAAAACTAATAATAATAATAATTATTATTATATATATATATAAATTAACTACCGATTTTGAAATAACTACTTTTTAATAATAATATATTTATTTTTGTTATTTCAAACAATCAATCATTTCGTGAAGAAAAGAAAATTTTCATTTTAATGCACTTTATAATAGTGTGTTTAATGCCAGTTTTAATAAATGCTTTT